AAAGACTACCAGTAAATCAGTTAGCCTTGCTTACCTAAAAGTTGTTCTCATCCAGGGTGGACTGTAGTTTCGAGCTCGCCTAGGTCTTATCAACACCAGCAACGGGCCGCGAACCATGTCAGTGCAACGTATGATCTTGACACATGAATCACTACATAACATTTGCCCGAGTGCCCTTGGGTAGTGGGGCAATGTGAATTTTAGGGCCAGGCGTTTTCCAATATCACATTCTCTGGTGGGAGTGTCGATGAGGCAAAGTTATATTTGCTATAATAATCGACTAAGTTACTTATTTTTCGCTTATAAGCAGAGTTTCAAGACTACCAGTAAATCAGTTATATAAAATGTATTCACCCTAGTTCGCTTAAAGTGTGAAGGACTGGTATTTTAGAATACCTTTCGTGAAAGTAAGGCTATGTGAAATTCAATGGAAGCGTCAGCTCTACTCAAATGATTGTGGGAAAATTCAAATACCAGTCCTTCATTACTTTAAACGAAATAGGGTGAATACATCTCATATTCCACAATAAAGCCAATTTAAACTCCATTTTTGTGTTCTCCTGCCCTCAGGCAGACTCGAAAGTGATTAACTCTCTTCTCTTTCAAGTTTGAGTTTTTGTGTGTGCGATGAATGGATTCGTGTAGATTCCACTTAGTCACTATCATCTTCTGATCGCACACACACTCGAAGAGTAAATAAGCCCAAACAATGATAGACAAAAAGCGTCACTGAAACCAAATTTATTTTGGCAGAATCGAGGTTGACTTAGTCTCCAGATTCAAAAAGTTACCCACGAGACCAGAAATTGCTTAGACTTGATTTTTTATAGTGACTGTATCACCTGCAGGGTAATGTGCATCCTCCATCTTATCCCTTGATACCACAGCAATGACTGACCGATACTCTAAATAAGGGCCGTAATGGAGTTTGTAACAATTTTTTGCTTCGAATCCATCAGAAAGCTGACTGTTTTCGAGGCATACCCATTTCATCTAATTCTTTGTTGCAATGACAACGAGTCTGTCCTCTTTCAAGTGATGACAATTTGTGAGTCTCGGATTGAAATTATTTTCACCATTTTTCTGTCTAGAACGGGATGGCTATTTTGCCCTCGACTCACCGTTTCATCCGCAGCCTCAGAGCGATTCGAACCGTACACACGAGAACAACAAGTGTACCTCTCGAACCCCCTACACCCATGGTCTGAATCCCGCTGGCAGTGCTGATGAGACGACGGGACGAGATCAAAATCGAACTTCAGCCATGAGGAGAGTTCACGATAGTCCATTTTAATGCAAACTCAAGCACTCTCTTCACCTTATTGTGGACGAATTCACAGCCATCACAACCATAAGTATATTCTGGTTGTTGGGGTACCAGCGTCGAGAGAGGCCTACCGCATCTGGCCGAACTTGCGCAACTGGACGTGGAGGTGGTACCGATGATCCTATTTTCAGACCACCACTTAGAGTCCCGATTTAAAAGACATCCCTCTTGTCCGAAATACCTCGAGCACAGACAACTGGCGGAACAGTGTCATTTTACAAGGAGTAAGGATAAATAATTCATTTAAAAATTTTGACAATACAATGAATTTGAACTGGTGTAAAAAAATTAACACTTCTAAAGATTAGTGCAAAGCAGAAACGCGCAAAGTTACAGCCCATCATACATTCCAATTATTGTTAGAGTTCAAATAAAACTGGATAGTCTCATTCATTGGCTCCGCTTGACTCCCTGCTGCCGGCTCCATTCACATCTTAAGCAAGTCAGTCTAGCTCGCCAAGACTAGATCCGCCGCCTTGGAGATTGTGTCAAAAGCGAAGAGCACATCCTCCAGAGTAGTCATGTAGGAGCAGATGACAAATCGCAGGAAAAGCAACTCCGGCTCTCCAACGCCTAATTTACTATTGATGCCCGAAGTAAACTTGCCGCAGACAAGGTAGATGGACCGACTCAGCAGCACCTGACGTTCTAGTCTGCGGTTCAGTTCGTTTGTCCCCTGAGTAAGAAATGTAAAGACGTCACACAAAGGCATCAATATGCTCGAAAGGAGGGCATGGATATGTACAAGTGATTTATTGGATGATATCCCCTTCTTCTACTCTAAAGGTATATTTGCTAACACAAGCAGTCTTTCGGTTACTTAAAGTAGACAATGGTACTTATTAAACATAATTAGACAGTGTGCGAATGCGGATGTGTCTGCCTCAATATGGAGATAGACGTCTATGCCCAGCCTGAGATAACAGTGCTGTGATTGCTATCATTTCGTGTGAAG